AAAAACCAAAAAAAAGTGGGTAAATAAAAAATAGAAAATTTGCGGCGAAAACCATTTACCAGACAAAAAAATATTCAAAATTAAAAAAAGTAAAAAAAAAAACTTCGGCAATTTTAAACCAAAAAGGACGGGCCTTTGAAATATGTAATTGTTTATATTAACGGGAAAGCAATAAATTGTGTTTTGGGATAGGGAAACCCCGGGAATATGAAATTTCCGATCCCTTTTCCAGATAATTGTAATGATGAATTCAAAAAAATTAATTTAACTCTGCATTCGGAAAAATGAGAAGCAAAACTAATTCAAAAAAAGCTCGAAAATAATTTTTAAATCATCAATGGATGGCGGTAGAATCACAGAAATTGGCGGGGTTTAAAACCTCCTTCTTTATATGAATCTTTGTGTTAATAAAAAAAAAAGTAATAAAAAAAAAAATGAATTTTTGGGAACCCAAATGTTCTATTACGTTTTCAAATGATGAAAATGAAGCAGAGTGTGGGAAAGATATATTTTTTTGTTGAGAGTGCTCGAAATAAAAATTTTTAAATTTTGGGATTACACAAAAAATGAAAAAATACAGAATAATTGGATTCTTTAAAAAAGGTTCGTGCAAGTTAAAATTAAATAAAAAATTTTTTATTTGATGGGTTAATTTATTACAGGGATAAAATTCAAATGAACCAGTCATACAATTTTTTTCATTGCAGAAAATAAAATAATGAACTAGCCCAGGGATAGTTTTGGGGTCATATGGGAGTTAAGAAAAAAAAAGGAAAATAAAATAAAATTTTTTTTCGCCAAATATGTCGGGGAAATTGCTGCTTCGCCCAGACATAAAAGGGTGTAAAACTTGGGAAGCCTAAAAAAAATTGGAGATAACCCCATTAACCTATTGTCTCCGACCCCCCTTTGAAATTGTAAATATAGATGTGATTACCTATTCAACCCCAACGGCAGGGGCATAAATCGTTCTTTTTTTGATGGATAACATCCCCGGGGCCTGAAGAGGTACCACTTAGACCCCTAACACCAAAAAGGAGTGACTCTTATTCAAATATTCTGGGGCGGGAATTAGTATAATTGCCAGTGATCGGGCACAAACTTCAATCGGTTTTTAACCCAAAAATTTAAAAAGGATTGGATCGTCCTAGGTTTTCCCCTGCCCCCTTCCCGGCCACAACGGACTGGTTGAAAGATGGAATAAGGTATTGAAGGAATGATTCATCCGTTATTCGTGAAGATTCAAAAGGGGGGGTCGACAATTCCCTTTTTCTTTTTTTAAACCGAGCCCGAACACTTCAACTTTTATCAATTTTGGTTATTTTAGGCGAGAACTGAGGACCCCCTTTCTTAAAACCTTTTGGGCGGGGCAAAAACATCTTGACGAAATTTAATCACTGCTGTTACCTTCAGGAAATGAAATAAAGATAAAAAGGCTGCTGAGACATCTTTAACTGCTGCTCAGGGGAAAAAAAAGGTTTATGGAATTACTAACAAGGGTCATCAGTGGGAAAATTTAGCATCGGAGAAGTTGTTTTGCTGATACCCGATTCGTAATAAGATCTATGCGAGATGGACTGGGCCTGGAGAGATAATTCAAACATCCACCCCCTTCATATAAAAATTAAACTGCCCCACGGAACTGCAAACATTTCCCTGAATAAATCGGAAGTATCATCCGGCACTTGCAGTTGGGGTTTTTTAAAATACGGAATTGAGAAACCTATTAATGTATCGAGGGGGCCCCCATCTGAAGGTTCTACACGAAACAGCTGAATCATCTGAAGGAGGTGGGGGTAACAAGTGCTAGAATTCTTCTAAAAAAACCAAACACTACTCACAAGTGATGTGAAAATAGCCAAAGTAGGGACTCATCGAATTTTTAAACCGAACATTGAACGTAAAACCGTTCTATATCGCATCCCAGAGTCCTTGAAGATTAAAGTTATTTGGAAGAAGGGGTTTGGATTGATTTAATGAAGAATCTGATGCGAAATACCTATCCCAAATTTGGGAAAAACCCAAAATCATCACAACGTTAGATCTCTTGAAGGGTATTGGGGTTTCCCGGCGAAAACAGCAAAAAACTTACATCTTTCAAAACTCTCGGCAACAGTACCACTTCAAGGTGATGAGTTTGGTATGAAAAATGCATCTGCTCATTTCGCGTGAAATGAACAAAGCATTATCGTGTTTTGAGAATTTTTTTACGTGCCCTTTATCGACGACATCGCTCTCTCCAAAAAAATTTGGAAAAAAATCTCTTCACTGGAGACTATTTTAGCGAAACTTTAGGTTAAATTTCACTATGAACCTCCCAAAAAGTTGCCTTTGGAAAAAATCAAATTAAATATTTGGGGCATATTATTGGTTCTGGTAAACTGAACCAGATCCGAAAAAACGCAGTTTTAACAACTTCCCGTGCCTAAAACGAAGAAAGGGAAATTCGTAATCTTGATTTTTTACTATCGCGAATATATTCATAAATATTCAAAATTGGTATCCCGACAGAATACAAAAGAGAGTACCTGATTCCACCCATGGACTGAAAAAAAATGATTTCTCTCTTTTTTTTAAAAATGGAAGCCCTTTGCGTACCTCCAGTGCCTGATAAACCGTATACCATTCATTCGTGCTCTTTGGTCTGCTTTTACAAAAAATTGGGGATAGTGTTGTTGTATCAATCAAAAATTAACAAGACTCAACGTGGTCATATTTAACGAGGCATTTGCATTGTGGGGAGTTTAAAGTTCGAAATATGGGTATTTGGAAAAATTGAATTTTATCGATCTTTAAACCTTTATCTTCAACAAAAAATGCACCAAATTTTCGGGGTCAAAGATGGGCTTTTGCCTCAAAAATTCAATGTGACAATCAAACATTGTTGTTGAAAATTTCCCCTCGGACTCTCGATTTGTAACAAAGTGTTTTCAATTTTAAAAAAAAAATTTTAGATTTTTTAATAATTTTTTTTTTTCTCCTTTTTTTTCTCATTATATATTTTTGTTGTTTTTTACATTTTTAAAAAAAAAGCTAATGCTTTTTAATAATATTTTTAGATTAATTTTATTTTTTTTTCGGAATTCCTTAAATTTAATTTTCTTGAAATTTTGGTATAATTAAATTTTTATCAAAAATTTATTCTTAATTTAGTTTTGTGTAATTTGTTATCATACTTATTTTTCATATTTTTTATGTGTATAATCAGTTCTGAATATTAGTGTATAGTATGAATGTATATTATTTTATGCTTTATAATCGATTGGGGATATCAGGTGTGACACATCAATCTTGTGTGTGGGGGGTAGTGTTTCCCCCCTTACCAGGATCATGTCCCCCCCCCAAAAAATGTGTTCTTTTTGTATATAAGAATATTTTTTCGGCAGGGGCCTTGGTGGTGGCTATTTTGAAATATTACCCGCGTGGGCCCTTTGATTTTAAAAATTTTCATGTTTATAGTAAATAAATGTGCTGTCCTCAAGAATATGTCTGTTGGTGAAACTACAACAACATTCGAACACTTGGCCACAACATATCACAATATTATTCTTACTAATTTATTGCTGAACTTTCATACTCTTTTTTAAAAATTTAACCCGGGTTTTTTGTTATAATTTCCCTTTTCAAAATTAAAAATAAATTTTGCAACAAAATTGCGTCCAATATAGAAATGGTTAATATTTTTTTAATCGAATAGCTTAAAATTAATAATAGTATGATGTTTGAGGTAAATAAAGGTAGTGTAATACTGATTAATTCAAATATTTTGTTTATTTATGTTACAACTATTAATTACAGAATATACATTGAATTTATTAAAACTTATTGTTATTAGAGTTCAAATGATGTTTGTGACGGAGGAGTTTGTGTAACTCTTTAATTTTTGACCTTCTGTTCTGTCTCTGCCCCCCCTGGGGCCCCCGGGGGAATAGGGGCCGTCTTTATCCTCAAGTTACATCCGGTTCATGGGGAGTAGGGATTCCTCGGAGTGTCAAAGGTTGCCGAGGTGATGTTCAAGAGAAGACCGCGCAATTTTTAAGGGTACAGATGTCATTGAACGTAGTGACTATATCCACAAAAGATGCCGCAGTATCAAATAGTTTTACACCTTGGGTTTTAAACTGCCACTAGTCAGGAAGAACTCTGATTTCCATGTATTCACTACCTATTAAAAGCTTCTTCAAGCCAAGAAAAAAACCCGTTTACACCAAACAAATGATCGGAGCTTTGATTTTATCATAACAACCTAGACTTTTAAAGTACTTTTAACTTCTTTTTTTTTTTTACATATTTTGCAGGAATTAGGAAAACTAAAGAGTGGCATAAGTAGGCAACTCTTTCGCAATGTTTTAATATTTTTTTTCCGATTTTTTTGTTAATTTCAAGTATCTAGGATCCTACGAGATTCGGCAAATGGAATATTTGACTTTTGTCTTGAGATTTTGACAGTGTTTTTAAGCTACATGGACTCTTATAAGAACAGTTCAATCCATTTCTTTTACATATATAGAATGCAGGTTACATAAAAGTATAACTCTTTTGAGATATGCTAACTTAACATATGTACTATTAGGATGCGGATATTTTTGTTTGGAAAATGTCTCGTGTGGGGGATGCTTACATCCTCGATAATGGATATCTAAAAAAATTTCAAAGCACCATCCTAACAAAGGTCAAGTAAGAATTCTGGATTGAGTTCACATAATCAAAACATTCTAAGAAGGCATAATTAAAGTTTTTTTAACAGATTGTTATAACAAATCAAGCTTGGTCTTCCTCATCCAAGTCTGTGTAGCTGAAGAGAATTTTCATTTCATCTACAGATGCTTTTGCAGTTATACGTTTTAGTACTAAGCAATGTTTAAATAATTTTATTCCAGAGTATCATTGCACAATATGGACTTTACACATTGTACAATATGGACAACTATGGACTTTTTTTCGTGTCAACTCATTTCCTCTTTTTATTTCTTGAGGGAAGAATTCTCCTTTAGCAGTTTGCCATACCATGCTGAAAATACCGATTCTCATCCGAAGTTAAACATCATCGGGCCTAGTCAGTACTTGGGAGGGTGACCACCTGGGAACAATGCGTGCCGTTGGCAAATTTAAAACCGGCCACATAGTACAGTATATATAGACGCTGATTGCTGTGCCGTAGTACTTGGGTTCAAATTCCGGAGAAAGCATGGGTGTTCGTAATTGAAAAGTGCCTGTGAGTCATGGAGGCAGTCTAAATAACCGTCGAGCCGAAAGTCCTTTCGAGAGGTTGGTGAAAGGTCCCTTGACCATCCCTCAGATGACCTTCCCTGAAAAGGGGTATAACAGAGCTCAAAGGTACTGTTACCTGCATGGTGCTCAAAGCTGCGGATAACAACAGACGCAAAACTAGCTTCTTGTCACGATGAATTTCGTGGGCCTTGATCTGACACCATGATTGAGTTGGCATTAGAAACAACAACTGAATTACTTTAGTATGCTTCCTGTTTAGTCCATCCTCAAGGATGTGGAATAAACAAAGGTCATACCCATTTTATACAGCTATTTGAAAACACATGCTTATTCGATTTGACGATGTATGCAATATTTCTATTTGAAGTAATTCAAATTTGTACTCACTAATATTGGACTTTTAAGAGTACGCGGAGCAAACACTGAAAATAAGGAATTTACGAAAAACTAATTTCGAATAACAAGATATAATGGAAAGAATATAGAAAGAGCAAAAACAAAGAAAGGGAAAAGAATAAGAGGGTTGAGGGAAAATTCTTTAGAAACTGGCAAGGTAAAAACGAAAGGATGGGCTCCCTGGAAATAGTGTGTGGGGAGGCGTAACAATTTGAAGTGTCTAGGGTGCAACATAAGTCAAAAACGGCCCTGGATAAATGCGGACACATGAAAAAACTTTAAGTACATAATGGATGGAGTATTTTCTTGGATTGAAAGGTCACGAAGGAAGAAAAAAACCTGATTAGAATAAAAAAATTTATTGCACTAAAAATACACTCCGTTCGAAGTTTCTTCCGTTTCTTGGGACAGTCCATCTCTTCTGGAGGGAGTGCAGTATCCTTTCCTGAGGGGCACGTGGCTGCCGAGGGCCTCTGTCCAATCTTTTGTTTCGTAATATTTCAGCAGGATGTCAAAAACTAAAAATCATAGATCATAAAGAAATTATTCAAAAAAATATATTAATTAAAATACCGATTATGTTCAACCAAAGGGAAAAAACATGAATTGTTTCGACTATAATTAAATGAAAGTCTAATTTTTTGGTTACTCATCAATGATTGATTTTAATAAATAGATTAAAGTAAAGAAATATGCATTCAGCTTGTTCTCAAGCTTTCTGATTCTACCAGTGTCAATGCGACGGCTACAGAAGATAAGAGTCTGTGGCTTAATTGAATGTGATGCATTTCTCTGTGCCACCAGGGGCGGTTCTAGGGCCGAACCCCAGTCCGGAGTGGCATTTCTATCCAATTAATTTTTTTTTGTTACAAAAAATTTGATATATTTTCTGAAATATTATTGGGTGTTAATTTCGTATTTCATTTAACGTATCTTATTTCCTTATTTTGTACTCTGTATGTTTAAAGTCAGTTTTCTTTTATGTTGAAACTTGTAGGGTTAGAGACAAGAGTATACGTTAATTCATGAAATTTGATATGTTTACACATCTTTCACTTGTAACTTTCTCCCCATCCCAGAACAGGGTCACACCGAATATTTCTTTCACCCATACCATGTCTGGTGTCAGCTATACAAAGGGAACAGGGCTAATAAGAGTTTTTGGTAGACAGAGAACCACAAGAGATGTTTTATTTTAGCCTTGAGTGTAGTTACTATAAATTAAAATAAACGCTTGTGATCCCCACCATCAGAAGACTCTTTTCGAAGAAGTTAGTCTGCTGAAATGAACGATTATTTCTCTTACATTTTACGTTTGAAAGAATAGCAGGTAATTAAATCCTTAATTTCGAATTATTTTTGTATTTTTTAAGATTTTAAAAAATAAATATATATATAATTTAGATTATTATTTTCTTTAAGATATTGTATGCTTAGTTTAATTGCAAATTATCTAAGTGGTGCCACTGTTTTTTTCTTTTTTTGCTTCTATGAGTTAACTCTATTTTAACACTCCATTTAGCGCGCGATTTTTGCAGAAGATGCTTCGTCTTCATATTTCTTTGTGGTTTGCATGTTTACATGTAAGTTTTTTTTTCCCCAAGCTTTTTCCTATAGAATTTTTTTCTTAATTTTCTTCTGTATGGAAAAAACCTTATTGTTCTATCTTCATAATTTCATTTTATTTTACTGTCTGGTTTATCAACCACGTGTGTTAGAAATAGACTTAACTTTTCAACATGTCTCTGTTTTTTTTCTATTATGTCGAAAGTTTTGCTGTACGGGGAAAGTGGTACCATAAAGCATCTTAACCCTAAATCACTGGCCTAATTCAACGACAGCTTTAGAAATCATAATAGGTCTTCATTTTAGTCCAAAGACGCTTTTTGTATCTTCACTTGGGATGTTTCTTGAAATCCAATTTCTTTCTTCTTTGGCCTTGAAGGTTATACAACTTTTTCATATTTTATTTTATTATACTATATATATATAATGTTATACTGTCTTTTTTTGCAAGAATTATTAAAGTTTTTTAAATGTGTATCTATGTGAATAATTTATCTTTTTTAATTATAATATTGTTTGCTTTGGAAAGAAGAGTGGTGTTTGCCATTTTTCTCCGGGGCGACAAAACTGCTAGAGCCGGCCCTGGTGCCACAATTAGTATCTTCAAATTCATAAGTATTTTTCCAAGTTGGCGATCATTTGAAGAGTTTGAAAACTTTACTTATGCATGCGATAATGTTTTTAGATTGAAATTTACCATCTGAAAAATACTGATTGAGGAAGCAAAATGGACGAGCTTTGAACGATAATAATTTTTTCACCCGGAAATTCTCAATGTTTTTGTGAATAAAATTTTTATGTGTTGCTAAGAGGAATGGTGACTGTTTTTATTCATTTTAGACAAACAAGAAAACTGAGAATAATATTATGGTAAAGGTAACACAAGGTAAGACAGAGGAATTTAAATTAAGGAAAATGTATTTAATTAATAAAATATTGTTCATAATTATATTAAAGTTACAACAAACAAAACGCTTTAATAAACCTTTTAGCTCATTCAGCATAACAAAACAGACTATTAAATTATTATTTTCAAATAAGATACAATTTCTTTCTCTTTCCTATTAAGTATAGCGAGAGATATAAATTAATCTACAGAATTCATTTTAGATCTGAAAAAGATTAAATGCAGATTTTTTTTAAAAAAAAAAAAGATTACCGTTCCATCTAAAGTAATGTTAAACTAAAGAGGGAGAAAAAATTTAACTAATGCAACAATTGTTCACTTGGGAAATTTGCTTAAGAACCACAAAAACATTGTATTATCCACGAGCTCATAAATAAACAAAAAGGTTTGCATTGTCTCTTAAAAACCTTTCTGGAATGTACACTATAACTTAAAACCATTCAATACATATTTTAATTTAGATTTACAATGACTGCTTTTCATCCTCACAAGTCCGAAATTCTCAAGAGGTTCTCATTTTTTAATTCAAAATAAATTCTATAATTGTAAACTAAAACATCCAACGTGTATTAAGAAAGTTACATTACTTTAAAATCCAAAATTTTAATTACCTTGATTTACAGTAAGAACAGTCGCTCCAGGATTTGAAGAATATGGAGCCAAATACTCCGGTATTGGTAAGCGAGCACTCCTGATATTGAAGTTCTTTGCATGGTTCAAACTCAAATTCTAGAAATATATTTATCATTCAAGCATTAATTTCTACATAATTTGCAAAGCAACAGGAAAATCATTTTCCTGTATAACAATGATTCAACTTTATTTACAACATTAATAAACATTTCAGTCAGTTGTATTTGGTTTCAAAAGGAACAGCAACTTCATATGTTTCATTGTACTTGCTCATTATAAACACCTTTTGCTACCTTATCAATGCAAAAATTTATTCATCCAAGTTTCACAGAGAAAATATTTTTTGTCATACTTTCCAATACTAAAAATATGACATGAGTACAACAATTTCTAAAAGATGCTTTGAAATAGGATTTAAAATGCCCTACATCAGCGGTCTTTAGACTGTGTTCTACGGAACCCTGGGGTTGCATACTCAGGGGTTCCACGAGTGGCAATAAAAAATCGGAAAGAAAATTATAAATGTGTATGCAAAATGGATTCACGTTCTCTGTGAAAATATAACCAGAAGCATCTAAAGCTCATCCCAGTCAATAAGACTGCAAACTTTATTTATACATAATATAATTGATTTTGAAATGCTTTTTTAAGTTGTATTGAAATATAATAAAAGAATATATTAAAACATTTTTTTCTTTATATGTTCTTCCTACTAGATTGTTTGCTATCCCGGGTTCTATGAAATAATTGTATACTCTTTAGTACAATGCTTTGCCCAAATAAAAAGTTTTCCAATGGGAAATACACCTTTTTACATTTGTGGGGGGGGGGAACACATAGTAAAGGAAAGGGACATATTGGACGTTAAAATATATATTTAAGCAAGAACAGCTCTTAAATTTTAGGTTGCAAATTCTTACTAATACGGAGGATTTCTCACACATTTTAATGTCATTCGAAACAACATATTCAGTGGCTACCAAATTAAAATATAAAAACGAATTCAATGCAGAATATGAAATGCGACTGCAGATAAGTTCAGTAGACCTAGACTTCGACAGTTTGTGCAAAAATTTGCAAGTACACATCTCATTTACTAAATATAATGCATAGGTAGGTGACACTGGAATCACAGATTAATATTATTATTATAAGTAAAAATTATATCAAAATTTTTAATAACAAATGCAATACTTTTATAATTATCTTTACATAAAATACCAATAAGATGTTGATCTGCTATTTTAAGATAGACTCTGAAGGGGAGGGGAGGAGAAAGTATGGGGTTCCCCAAAAACATTTTACAATTCTGAGGGTTCCGAGAGTTGAAAAAGTTTGAAAAACACTGCTCTAAATGAGCTACTGTTC